CAGAAAGCCCTCACTGACCACCAAGGTAAGGTGACACGTTTTTAAAAATAAAATCGGGAACATAAAATAAAACATTTTTTTTTAAAATACTCACCTGATCCACCGCCAATTTTAGCCCCCAAGTCTTCCACGCTGTCAGAAGCTTGCAGGCGCTGTGTGCAGCTTCTGAGAAGATACGCTATTAGCGTAGCGGGCGCTTTGCAAAATGCGCAGCCAGCTTCCTCGCTATGCTAATAGCGTATCTTCTCAGAAGCTGCACACAGCAATCCTGCTCTGCCAGCAGTGGCATCGGATTTGGAGGAGGCCGATAACATCAGGGTGAAGAAGGCCTGAGTCACATGGAGTTAACCCCTGGATCAGGAGCAGCAGGTGCATGGAGTTCAGGTAAGTGAAGCACCACTCCTAAGGCTGCGTTCACACCTGGGCGTTTTTCAGTGCTGATCGAAGCGCTAAAAAACGCCCAACGCTCAAAATAGTACTTGAGCTTCTTTGGGGCGGATTTCCGCGCGGATCCATTGACTTCCGCATATTAGATTTCGTAAAACGCGCGTCAAATGCACGTTTCGTGGACAGAAAAACGTGCAAAAACGTGTGTTTGACCCGCATATTACAACCGCCCAGGTGTGAACCCAGCCTAAAAATGGAAAATGTATGCTAAAAAAACCAAAACAAAACATTCTTGTTTTAAAAATACTGTTGTCAGGACCCAGTCACGACATAAAGACTGCGTTCCAGTGCGTCCTGCCTGGCTCACTTTGTTTTGGGATATGAGGGGGCGTGGCGGTGCCATGAAGTCAATAGCACCACATGCAACCCACCCTCCCCCCGCGCCATGCGATCGCCGGCACCCAAACGCATGGAATATTAGTGCTCGCGTATTGGTCCAGTGCAATCTGCAAAAATGCTGCATGCGCTACTTTTTTGCAGATCACAATGTACCGGAACACAGGCACTAATTTGCCACGTTTGGGTGGTGGCGATCGCTCTGCGGGTGGGCGGCGTGGCTGCGCTGCTATTGACTTCAATGCACCGTCACGCCCCAAAACAAAGTGAGCTGGCTAAGTTGCGTTCCAGAGGCTGAATGCACTGGAACGCACTCTTTATAGTGTGACTGGGCCCTCATTGTTTACATCTGCTGCTAACAATATTCCATGTAAAAAATCCAAAAGGATAAAAAGGAGGACAGAAGCGCTACTACCATGGGATGACCGAGTGTAAACTGAAAAGACAAAATAAAGGCAACTGACAACTTACCATGAAGTGAGAGATGACGCGATGTCATCGACGAAAGGTGGATAGGTGGTGATCCTACAATAGTGTGAATGGTGTGCGCTCTCAGAAGTGTGTGAACATCGGGCACAGCGGATCTCAGAACCGGCAAGGCAGCGACACCTGCTCCTATACAAGTGGTCGGGCATCTCTAGAGACGCACGATCGCTTGAATGTAAAGCTACTCGTCGCCTAAGGCCTCACAAAGTCTAGAGCCGCCTCTGGATGCATGGGCATTCCACAGCCTAGGTATGGCTTTGGCATTTTTAATTATTCTAGGCTGTGAGGCATAAGGCAAGGCAAGCCAAGCATGCACTGCACCGAAAAGGATTTGAAATAGTTTCTTAAGATTGGGAGAGATATCAGCAGATTGAATCTGCTCCTGTTCCAAATGCTCAGAAACAGAAAATGCATCACCCTCCTCCTCTTGAAGAGAAGACGCCAGAGTCAGACAGACTCTGGAGGAGAGGCTGAGGGGACCTGCTTGAGGCCTCTACGGTCTGAGGCTTTCAAGAGGGCCAAGACCTTGGCAATGAATTCAGACATGATGGCTGAAAACTCCTCCCTTGACAAACAGGAGAACAGGGGTGCACCAGAGGGTGCAATGTAGGTCCCAGATGAAGGAAATGAATCAGACTTGTGGAAAGTGGTCAGGACTGTTAGGGCCAAGGCCTTTCGGGGAGAGATTACCTCCCCAGAGCCAGTGTGAGCTGGCAAAACCTGCAGACCCATTCCCCATGTGCGGCAAGGATCACCCCTAGGGGGGTACTCACAACCAACCACTGTGGTTGCGTCAAACACTGTGAGCAGCTGGAGACCATGAGACATTCGAGGATCACTGTGCTGTAAGTGGTAAAGTAAGTCATGCTGGTTAGTGCATGCACTGAAGGAAAATGGCGTGCACATATGCAGTGAGCCCGGTGATATCGAGGCCTCACAGGCACAGTAATAGCCTGTAAAGGGGAAAAAAGCCCTAACTTACTGCAACAGGTTTGTTGTCCTCCTGTAGAGAGAGACTACATGCTCAATGTATCAAGGTTATCATTTTACATTGAAAAATGTAGATACTAATAATCCATAAATTGTATTCTCTGATTGTGGAACTGGATGTTTTGAAGAGGACTTACTGTTAAGATCTTCTGAGATATGACAGAAGTACAGTGGTTTTCCTCTGCAAGATTAATTTTTAGCTAGCAGAAATACACAACTTTGAAAAGCACTTGTGAAAAGAAGGTGTGGTAGTTTCACAGAACTACAGGTGAAAGGAATGTGTGGGAAGCTAAAAACCGTTAATATGTGAGTGAATATGCTGTAAATGTACTCACATTTCTGTGGCATCTGTGCTATTTTGCAAGACACAACTTACAGCTACTCAAAGTGAGTACCTTCAAGAGTCTGCACAAGTGTAAAAAAAAACAGGACGGGTAATGAATACTGTTCACAAATTTGGCCATTTTGACGCTAGATTAAAATTGAACTCCAGGCAAGAAACAAAATGCACAGTTGAAATGCATAAGTTGTTTTACCAACCAAAGGCTTTGTATTTCTGTCCATTTAGTCCAGAGATATAAACAGCTCTGACACAGAACACTGCCAGCCTGGAAGGGGAGGAGACCTGAGCTTTCTCTGCTATAGTTTCAGTTTCACTTACAAATCCCCTCCCCATGCCCACCCTGTGATTAGGCAGTAAAACGAGGAGAAGCAGCAGACAGATAAGCTCATATTTCTATTACATTGTTCTCTCCTCCTATCAGCATGCCTCTTGCATTGCAACACCCCTGAGGGACTCCTTGTGCTGCTTCTCCTCCCTATCTGAGCTCTGCTATACAGTAGCTTGCAAGAGGCGGATACCAAGTCATTTAATGATGTATTAAAGAATACAGAGCTGCAATAATTAGTGCCTTTTATTTCTGCCTGGAGTTTAGCTTTAGAACATCCATATTTCATTTAATTTGAAGTTACACTTTAAACTTAATTAAGACCCTTAGCAACATGTATCAGGGCTTTGAACATTCAGTACACACTTCACTTTTCACACCAAATCTAGTGCCAGGCATGTCCAAGATCTAGGCTTACTTCTTTTTCTTCCCGGGACTACAACAAAAGCATCAGATGTATAAGCTTCTCAAGCACATATTAATACTCCTGCAGATTCTTATGTGGAAAGAGCTGCACTTTAATAATAATAAGTACACTAATGTGATTCTAAAAGTGAATAATGAATATAAAATTCTTTCAAATCGACAAGAAGAAGAAACTCAAAAAAAACAAAACCTCGAGATCAGAGATAAAATCCGTGAAAAATATATACTTTTTACTACAGGTATATTGAAGAAAAAATATAAATAGAGATAACAAAAAGTAAAGCAGCACAAAGGGGATATATTCTTAACAAACACCAAATGCAAACTAACACTGTGTTTAATTCATTCATAAAGTGCAAATAGTGCCCATAAAAGTCCAAAATTCATTTGCTTCCAGTCCACAGCAGCATATATAATGATCTCTTGGGTATGGACAACCCCGATCTCCCGTGATCGCCACGAAAAGGGAATTTTTGGAGTGCTGCTCACCTTAGTATCAGACCCAAACAAGGTCTGTTTGCTCTGTTCTTCCTTTCAAAATCGGGTGGAGAAAAAAACCCACCAGCGAACACTTTCCAGCAACTCCTCCTCCTACTAATGAACCCGTTTTGACAGTCTTCGGCGTTAGGCAAGGTATATGTCCCAGCAGATTGTGTTTCAGTATTTATTTCCCTCTCCAGGAGGAGATTTACTCTTCTACTGATGTCTGTCGACAAGCATAGGGTGCAGTCAAGGTACAAGCTGTTGCTCTCTCCTATGTGGTCAGTGTTTATTTAAACAAGGGATGCACTGATACCGGTTCTTCGGTATTTAGTACGTGTAGCGCTTATTTTTTCCGGTAATCGCCGATACTGAATACCGAAAGTCCCGTTAAGGAAACCAGGTGGCGTGTAATGACTCGCCACCTGGCTTCCCGATTAGCCGGGAAGCTGGGCGACATGTAAAGGCTCGCCACCCAGCTTCCCGATTAGCACGGAAGCAGTCTCCATGCTCCCTCGTCAACAGGTGCTGTTGGTTGCATAAAGTGGTCAAGGTGTTCAAAAATCAGGCTTCCCTGTGTTAAAAGGTACAGAAGTGCATTTACAATTATGCATTAAACACTTTAACCCCTTCATGACTGAGGCCTTTTAAAAAATGTTTGCACCCATGTTATATTCCACATTTTAGGCCTACAAATGACTTAAAACCCCCAAACATTATATATTTTCTGAAAGCCAAGACCCTATAGAATGAAATGGTGGCAGTTGCAAATTTTTATGTTGCACGATATTAGCGCAACTCCTTATCAAACCCCAGAATTTAGTGAAAAATGCACTTAAATGCCCCAAAACACAATACAGGTATTCCTCACTTAACGACCGAGTTCCGTTCCTACGACCAGGTCGTTAAACGGATTGGTCGTTAAGTGAGGAACTCTATACAGTACTATACTGCATTAGTACAGTACTGTATAGCGTTGCCGATGTACAGTACCGAACAGTGTACTGTACATCCGGCAATGGAAATACTTACCGAGACCTGCAGTGAAGATCGGGGGATGTCACTTCCGCCGGCGACCCGTCGCACTGACGCTGGCGCGGAAGGTCGGAGGTCGATCGGCGGTCCGTCGTAAGTGCGAGTGGTCGCAAAACAGGTAAGTCGGTAAGTGAGGAACATCTGTATAATACCCATTTGTTTAATACAATATAAAAGATGAGGTTACAACGAGTAAATAGATACCCAACATGCCCAGGTTAAAAATTGTGTGCGTCCATGAAACAACGGCAAAATTCAGTGCCCCAAAAAGTCCATAGAAGACACTTTATAAGCCCCTACAGGTCATCAGTTTAGAGATACCCAGAAATACTTTAGCTAGAATTATTGCTCTCACTCCAGCGTGCGCAGCGATACCCAACATGTGTAGCGCATCCGTCGTTTTAATACTTAGGCGCACCTGACGTGTGTTTACGTGAAGGCGCGCATGCCGGAGTGAGATAGATGGTGGTGACAGGTAGTCTTTAAGGTGATGCTGGGGGTCCAAAAGACCCCGTGTCACCTTTACACTCTCAATAAGCTATTGAAGTGCAGATCACACTTCATGAGCCCAGCACTGACAGCTATGGGACCGGAAGTGATTAAATCTGCATCGCTCACGGTCCCATAGAACGGGGAGGGGATCGACGAACGGAGGCTCGCCCATCTCCCCCCAGCTTCCCACCCACACCAAACAAGCCGGTCCCGGGCCCGTAGGAGGGGCAACGGAGCCCGGGAAACACGGCAGGGGTGTCGAGGGGGGCACCCGTTCACCGGCCCGTAGGAGATCTGGCGGCCACTGAGCCGCCAGAATCGCTTCTACTGTTAAGCCGACAGTCGGCTTTACAAGTTTAAACAGAGTCCCGGCGGAGTCTGATTAAACAGCCTCGATGCCAGTGACGTACACTGTACGTCGTTGGTCGTGAAGGGGTTAAATCAGATAAGGTAATAAAACATTACGTTTTTGCTTTTGCCTTTTCTATCTTTTGTTGCATCTCCTATCTTTTGCAGCGATGGTTGCATGACATTTCTGAGGGTGGGTTTTCTAAAGGTTACAATAGTGGACCATGCCACTTGTAGTCGGAAGCCGGTGTGATAGAGTGACAATTCAGGAGCAAAACTGGGAGACTGGGGCAGAGCATTGTCACCCTGAAGCTCCTGAACAAGGACTTTCAATACTAGTTCTACTAATTCTAGCCACAGTCCAATGTGACCCTTTGGTGTACACAAGCTGCCAGCCCATGGTCTGGGAATTATCCACAGACTACCAAGTGGTAGCTAAAGCTAAAGAAACTTTCAGGGTTTCAGCACCATCCATCCACTCTCCTAGACAGCATAGCCTGCTCAGTGACTAACACAGTGTGCTTCTTCCAATCATAGTGCAGTCTATTGCAGGAGCCAATATAAATATTCAGATACTTATGCATATTGGCTAGATTTAAGAATGCATTTAATTACTGGTAATGAACAAAAAAAACTTAAGTAGTTTGTTTTCTATATTTGTGCGGAGACTAGCTTTAAGCACTGTGAGAATGTGGATTTTTTTTTTCATTATATAGCAATGCAGTAGTTTGTGCACTTAGACAACCAGTCAACATGTATTTGTACATACACTATAAACAACTAGCACTATAAAAAGAACAACACTATGATTAAACACTGGTTGGTGCTCATGCAAAACCACCAGGTGGAAACAAATGCTACTTTAGGTCTAACCTACTCACAGTTGTTTTTTAAGATTTGTTTTGTTGCACAACTATTGTATTTTGACCTTGTTTCTGATATTGAGTTTGTACATAAGGACATCAGTATTTAACTACCTTCCGTCCATGGCCGTTTGTGAATGGCCGGACGGACGTCTGCTAGGAGCGGGAGGGCGTCTTGAGACGTCCTGCCCCTCCCCCTTCTCGTGTGCGGCACTCAGCGCGCTATTACATAGGGGATTCCTTAGTCCCCTATGTTATAGCAATAAAGTTAAGTCTAAAAAAAAAAAAGTTTAAAAACAAATTACAGCATTAAAAAAAAAATAAAGAAGCTAAAAAAATATTCACAAATAATAATTAAACAAAATAACACAAAAAATGTTTTAAAGTCCCCCGCCCCCCCACCACATACACACGCAAACATGCGTCGGGTGCGTCTATGTACAAAAACTACGATTGCGCCCATTACGCCGCACGTTACATATCGCCGCGAACGTCGCAGTGAGAACAATAAGTCTAGGGCCATCAATCACTGATGACACTAAACTGATGAGCGGTAAATACGTTGGCCAATTTTGGTTGCGGGAAGTTTTCTGCGATTTCGCAGGCGCGCGCAATTTTAAAGGTTGACATGTTTAGTGTCTATTTACCCGACGTGACCCCGTCTTTTATATTATACCAAAAAATTGGGGTGAAAATAAATGTTTCATAACATTTTATAGGGAAACATGGTTTTTTTTCAAAATTTAGGGTACTTTTTTTGTTATATAGTAAAAAATAAAAACCCCAGTGGTGATTAAATACCAATAAAAGAAAGCTCTATCTGTCCCCAAAAAATGGTATGAAATTCATTTCAGTACAGCGTTGCATGACGGAATAAACATCAGTCAAAGTACCGCAGCGCTGAATACTGAAAAATGGCCTGGCCAGGAAGGGGGTGAAACACCATGGCCTTTAAGTGGTTAAGTTACTCTGTCCTATTGACAACACAAGAAAAATCTACTTACAGGTATATACTACAGGCACCTAAAGGTAGGCAGCTTTCCCATGTTCCTGCTCTGCTTGAATGCTAGGCCTCTCTGAACAGCCAAAGCTTTGGTACCTACTGATAGTATTGAAGCTGATCACCCCGTCTTTTGGCCAATGAGACTGCCCACTACAGTGATAGGCCAATAGGAATGTATGTCTGGGAGAGAGCAGGCAAGCTCATAAACAGACAAACCTCAAGCAATGGTAGATCAGAACTGCCTAGCATTCAAACTGAGCAAAGGACAATGCAAGCAGGTACAGTGCATTCAGACCCTCTTCACTTTTTTCAGCCTTGTTATGTTGCAGCCTGATACTACAGTTGTCTACATTCTTTTTTTCTCATTAATCTACACTCAATATCCCCATAATGACAAAGTAAACAGAATTTTAGAAATGTCTGTGAATTTATTAAAAAGAAAAAAAACTGATATAATCACATGTACTTAAGTATTCAGACCCTTTACTCAGCACTTTGTTGAAGCACCTTTGGCATCAATTACAGCCTCAAGTCTTTTTAGGTATGACGCGACAAGCTTTGCTCACCTGGACTGGGGGATTTTCTGCCATTCTTCTTTGCAAATACTCTCAAGCTCAATCAGGTCAGATGGGGACTGTCAGTGGTCAGCCATTTTCAGGTCTCTTCAGAGATGCTCAATAGGGTTCAAGTCAGGGCTTTGGCTGGGCCACTCCAGGACATTCAAAGAGTTATCTCTAAGCCTATCCTGTGTTGTCTTGGTTGTGTGCTTAGGATCGTTGTCATGTTGGTAGGTGAACCTTCGGCCCAGTCTGAGGTCCTGAGCACTGTGGAACAGATTTTCATTGAGGATATATCTCTGTACTTTGCTCCATTCAGCTTTCCCTCAATACTGACCAGTCTTTCAATCCCTGCTGCTAAAAAACACCCCTACAGCATGATGCTGCCACCACCATGCTTCAATGTTGGGATTGTATTGGGCAGGTGATGAGTGGTGCTTGGTTTACTCCAGACATAACATTTAGAATTGAGGCCAATCTTGGTTTCATCATACCAGAGACTCTTGTTCCTCACAATCTGGGAGTCCTTCAGGTGCTTTTTTGCAAACTCCAAGTGGGCTTTCATGTATTTTGCACTGAGGAGAGGCTTCTATCTAGCCACTGCCATAAAGGCCAGGTCGGTGGAGGGCTGCAGTGATGGTTGTACTTCTGGAACTTCATCCCCTCTCCTCACAGGATCTTTGGAGCTCAGTCAGAGTGACCATCCGGTTCTTGGTCACCTCTCTAATTAAAGTCCCTTTCCCCCGATTGCTCAGTTTGGACGGGCAACCAGCTCTTGGAAGAATCCTGGTTTTGCCAAACGTCCTCCATTTGAGAATTATGGAGGCCACTGTGCTCTTGGGAACCTTCAGTGCAGCAGAATTTTTTTTTGTAGCCTTTCCCAGATCTGTGCTCTGCAATAACCTGGTCTCTGAGTGCTGCAGAAAGTTCCTTTGACCTCATGGCTTTTGCTCTGATACAGTCGGCATTGTCAGCTATGAGGCCTTCTATAGAGAGGTGTGTGCCTTTCCAAATCATACCCAATCAGTTTAATTTACCATAGGTGGGCTCTAATCAAGGCGTAGAAACATCTCAGAAACGATCGAGAAAAGGGAGGCAGCTGGGCTAAATTTCAAGTGTTGCAAAGGGTCTGAATACTTATGCCAATGTAATATTTTAGTTTTTCCTTTTTCATACATTTGCAAACATTTCTAAAATTTAGTTTTTACTGTCATTAAAGGGGTACTGAGTGTAGATTAATGAGAAAAAAAGAATGTAACTGTAGTATCAGGCTGCAACATAAACAAAACTGACAAAGTGAAGGGGGTCTGAATACTTTCTGAATGCACTGTATGGCTAGGTATTATTTTTCACCTGGTGATCCAGCCAGTAACACACTTCCTGTCTTAGGGTGGCTCCACTCTGTGCAGGGCCTGGGACCGCCACGGTGGGTCTCCCCACAACGGAAGTGATGTGTATTACATCACTTCCGGTATTACTTTACATTGTACATTCCAGGAGAGGCAGATCTCTGCTTCCTCAGCTTCTTTGGGGTCCCTAGATGACATTATGTGTCCATAAAGAGGACCTGTCACACACTATCTGATATCACATGGGGGGCTTGTTAGGGGATTGTTATCCCCCTATGTGATAGCAATAAGGTTAGTGTAAAAAAAAATGTTTAAAAATATAAAATACATTTTAAAGTAACATCAAAGAAAAAAAAAATGGGGGCATTTTTTTTTAAAGTCCCACGTGCGCACAGATACACACGCAAACATGCATAGGTGCGCCTACGTGCAAAAACGAAAATTCCACTACACATTACATATCGTCGCAAGCGTCGGAGAGAAATAATTCTAGGGCCATCAATCACTGTTAGCACTAAACTGATGAGCGGTAAATGCTTTTAAAGTGTCCATTATGGGAAATTTTGGGTATTGTAGTTTTATGCAGCTTCACGGGCGAACACAATTTTAAGGCTTGACATGTTTGGTATCTGTTCACCCGACGTGACCCTGTCTTTTATATTTTACCCAAAAATTGGGTATTATATTTTGTTTCTATGCACTAAATTTGATTTTAGTATATTTCATCCTAAATATACTGGTTTGATAAACATTTCCACAAATACCGTGCGACATAAAAAATGGCAACTAGCATTTTTTTTATTCTACAGGGCGTCTGCTTTCAGAACATATATCATTGTTTGGAGGTCTAAAGCTGTTTTCTAGCCAAAAATGAATATTTTATCATGTGTGCGCAAATAGTAAGAAATCGCTCCAGACAGCAAGTGGTTAAGAATTTACAGCAACAGGTCTTTGTTTTCCTTTTGGGATAGAAGTTTTATATAAAATAAAAGCAATTCATTAGAATTGGGAAAAGAATATCTTGATGTTTTATACATTGCAAGGATTTTAGCAAACTTTGCAGACTAGTGAAACCTACACCTGCGTTTAAATCACTTCCTCCTTTACGTGAGAAGCCCTTGCCTGCTGAAGTCACTTTATCAGGGCAAAAAAACGCTAGTAAAAGTAGTAAGCTTTTTAAACATACAGAAGATTACATTTCTGGAGCAGCTTATACACTTACAGTGTACAGAATGCCCCACCTGCCATGGTTACAAGGAAGTGACATTTGAATTGTTGTCAGGTGTTGAAAATCATAGCTGACTGCAGATTAAAATGGAAAGGAAATGTTTACCAAAAATTACAAAGTTACCCATAGAAAGTACGTAAAATGTGGTCGGCAGGGGAAGGCCTTAGGTGCCACACCCTATGAAAATGAACCAAGACAAAACACTGAAGCCGAAGACTAGGAGAGAGAGGTTTCTTTAGGCACATAATAAAGCCTTCAAAAAGTTACATCAAAACACACAGCTTTATTATTTCAGTAAAAGGACAGAAGATACATTTAGTTGAACTGCTGGTTTACAAAGTTACCATTAAAGTGATATTAATATCAAAGGTTTTTAAGCTATTTTAAATGCTGATTAAATCACTTACAATGAATGCTGCTCCTTGATATTTAAAAGTTCCTGCAGGATCAGCTGGTCCCTGAGCACTGGCCCTAATATCCTGTTTTAGGAGGGCTCCTTTCCCTTGCAGGGTCCTATGGAGACACCGTTGTGTGTAATAGCAAGTTGAGTGTCTCCCCATACACAGGCACTGTAGGGCAAGCCACACCCATGCTCCCCTCTTCTCCAACATACAACTGCTGGAGACTGCCCTCTCCTTTGTTATCTTTTACTAAACAGGAGGTTCAGTGAAGCGGATCTGAGAGAGTTGGAGCCAGCTATTCGGAAACATGTAAGTGCTTGGACAAAAATGAAAACAAAATACTTTGCTGACCAATGTATATTTGTTTGAGCTGGACTCCAATAAAAAAAAAAAAAACATTTGAGAGTGTAATACTACTATAATTAAATGTTATTATAATACGCCATTTGCAGAGCATGTTGGGTTTTCTAACAAAAACACTGAGGGGAATTTATCAAAACTTGAGCAGGCAAAATCTGGAACAGTTGTGCACGGCAATCAATCAGCAACTCCCTTTAGATGTTTTTTGCTCACATCTAATAAGATATCATTCACATAGGGGATGCTTTTTCAATTATTAAATTGATTTAAAGTAGGACAAATCTGTAAAACTGATAGCTCAGAGCAATGCTCCTTGTATGTAATCCGCAGGACTGAATTGTCAGTTTGATAGTTCTGTGCATACATAGTGCAAGGACAGTTTCTTGGCCTGCAAAAGTATATTTTCTCTCAGTTGTGTCCTTAACAACCAAGACTGCCATTTAACACAGAAAATGTTTTTGAAAACAAATGCTAGACACTGAAAACTGAAATAAAATAGATATAAAGTGCAGCTTACCACTTGGAGGCTTTGGCCGTGGTGGGACGCTTCTCTTGGGCGGCAGTGCTGGCATGTCATGTTTGCTTTTAAAGGGGTCCTCTGAGAAACCAGAGCCTGGAAAAGTAGCTGCAAAGGGATCGGGAGTTTGATGCTGAAATACAAAGAAAGCAAGAAATTGGATAGAATAATGATTGCTATTTTCATTTAATTTTAGACAAAAACAGTTTCTTACATTCTGAAAAACCTTCATAGCACTGCCTTTTGTTCAGAGTTATCCCTGCCCATTAATCAATAGGTTTTTTTATACAAGCTTTCAACGCACGCTTGATTTGAATCTGAGTAGACAAAGCAAGCAAATTATTCTGGGTGTTTGGTTTAGAAGATCAGCTGATCCACATTCATTAGCAGCACTTCCAACCGTACAAGTAATACAATATATTGAAGCTCAGCGTGACACCCACGGCAGGTTCCTCCATCCATGACTACCCACACCCCAACCAAGCCCCCCATCCCCACCCCGTTATTCTGCAACTATTTTTTCTTTTTATTCAGTAAGCTTACAGCTGGCCATACATGGTTATATTTCTTTTATTCAACCTGCGGGCCGAGTGAAAAAAAAAATATAACATATTCTACTGCTGTGTGCTTTATATTCGGTCAGCCAAAACGATTATCAGAAGAGACTAACATCAACTTTATAAAACTTAGCAAAAGTGTGAACAGAAGACCAAGTTGCAACCTTACAATTTGAGTAACAGAAGCTTGATTCTGAAATGCCAAAGAAGTACTAACTGCAGAAAATAGGAAGAGGAGGAACCTTATTCAGCAACTCATAACCTTTGATGAAAACTTGACAGCTGAACAACCTTTTCTAGGTACTTCTGGAAGAACAAAGAACACCTAAAGGAAGCTGTGCCTCACAGATAAACTCTAACAGCCCGCACAACATCTAAACAATGAAGAGAAATCTCCTTAGGATGAACAGGAGCTAGACAAAGTGAAGGTAAAACAATGTCTTCATTTAAACGAAAAGACAAAACCACCTTGGGTAAAAAGGAAACCTGCGGTCTTAAAATCTGAAGAACCGATAGGGTTCCTTACAGAACAAAGCAGACAACTTGGAAACCCTTCTAGCTGAGGCAACCTTTTTGAATAACAAAGAAATTACTCGGATAGGATCAAAAGAAGGTTTTTGTAGAACAGATAAAATCAAGTTCAAATCCCAGGGAGGAAGGAGACCCAACAGGAGGGGCCATGCGTGAAACTCCCGGAATAAAAGTATAATTTAAGAAATTATAAGCAAGAGGATGTTGAAAAAGAACCGACAACGCAGATGTTTGACCCTTTATGGTACTCGGAGCTAAACCCCAAGTTGAAAAAAGACAACATTTGCAAAATAGAAAAAAGGATGCAATGAAAACCCCAAGGACTCACAGCAATGAAAATAATCCTTCCACGCACAGTGATAAATCTTAGAGGTAGAAGATCTACCTGCCTTAAGCATAGTCGGAATAACAGAATCTGAAATTCCTTTGTCTTTTAAACACTTGGATTTCAACAGCCAGGGCATTAGGTCAGCGACCCGAGAAGCAGGGTGGAAGATTGGGCCCTGAGATAACAAATCAGTCAGATCTGGAAGAAGCCAGGGATCGTCTGCCAAAAGATGAACCAAATCGGCATACCGGAACCTGCAAGCCCAATTTGGAGCAACAAGAAATTACTAAAATTCCTTTACGTTCTATCCTGTGAAGCAGACAAGGTTATAGCATCGGTGGAGGAAAGATAAACATTAGCGTGTACTTTCCACATGCGCCGTTGGATCCCTTGCTCTGGACACAAACCTGCCCATCTTCTTGTGACGAGAAGCCAGAAGACTCACATCCGCTGTTCCCCAGCCGTGGCAAAGTTGTTGGAAAACCTCTGGATGAAAAGACCATTCGCTCAGATCCAGAAGTTGTCTGCTGAGAAAGTCCGCCTGCCTGGTTTCTACCCCAGGAATGTGCACTGCTGAACTTGCTGGAACCTGAAGTTCCACCCAATACAAGATCAAATGTACTTCCATCGTTGACGACACACTCCTGGTGCCGCCCTGGCGATTGATGAATGCCATCGCTGTAACATTATCTGACTGAATCCGAATCAGACACCCAGACAGAAGACGGGTCTAGTGAAAACGCCAGACAAAATCACCCCCAAGCCCAGGAACATAGATTGGGAGCTTAGATTCTTTCAAAGACCAACAGCCCTGCAAGGACAGATGATTCAAGAGACCACCCATCCCACAAGACTAGCGTCCATTGTGACCATCTTCCAAATTATGAGAAGAAATTACTTTCCCACTGTCAGCGCAGGAGATCTCAACCATCACGACAGAAACATCCTGGCCGGGGCACACAAACTGAACATCTTGTCTAGCGATAGAGGAGACTTGTCCGATGCTGAAAGAATATTCTTCTGTAAAGTTTTGGAATGTAACTGAGCAAAAGGTACTGCTTTGAATATTGGCACCATCAATCCCAGCATTAGAGAGGAGCGTAGATGAGAACGAAGTGACCGAACTTGATCCTGCAACTTCAATATTTTGCTTAAGGGGTATCCAATAGAAGACCCAAATATTCGAAGCGATGTGACAGAACTAGGGACGACCTCTCAATGTTCAGAATCCACTGAAGTCCACTAATTGTGCAGCACCATCTGGACATTGAGCTTCAAAGTAGGAAGAGACTGTCCATGGAGTACAGGGTTGTCTAAGTATCCGGAATGCACTTGTGACGAAAGCCGAAGTCAACCAGAAGGGAAGGCTAAAAATTGATAATGAAGTTCACCTATCACAAAATGAAAGAACCGCTGATGGAGTTGGAGATACAGGAATGTGTAGATACACATCCTTTGTCTATAGAAACCCAAAAAATCTCCTCCAAGAGAGGCGACAACCGACTGAATGAACTCCATCCAGAATTTAAGATTAGGAACAAATGCATTAAAGGAGAACTATGGGGTCAGTGTTTTCCCCCATAGTTCTCGTTAGGGTAACAGGAGGACACAAACTAGCGTCCTCCCGTTACCCTAAGCTCAGTATACCGTGAGCAGCTTTCAAATCCAGAATCGGACAAAGTCATCCATTAGGTTTGAGAACCCTAAACAGGATTGAGTAAAAACCTTTAAAATGTTCTGCCAAAGGAATGGGAATAATAATGCTCTGCCAAAAGGGGAATAATAACCTCCAGATCCAACAGACCTTGAACTGGGCAAAAAAAGGTTCATTCAATGCTGCCGAGACATAAGAAGGGGGAACACACAGAACGGAGGAGGAGGAGGATGACAATATATTCAGAAATTTGAGTTTCCCACATCTCTGCAGATTCCATCAGGTGTCCCCCCACCAGATATAGGAAAAGCGGGAGCAGATCTTCATGCTAAGCAGACTATTTAAATGCCATGAACATCTAGAGGGTCCAAACGTTTGGAAGTATAAGATGTCTTTTGAAACTGGGAACCAAAGAAATGTATAAAAAAACTGGAAAAGAAGCAGGCTTATGCTGCTGATCCCTAATTTTCCACATCTGAGGTAACTGTTTACTTTTACCTCCTGTAGCTTTTTAATAATCTAAATCCATGGTAGCTCTACAAAGACCACCTCTCGCGTAGGGTAAAAGCAAAAGTCCCTTTTTGCATTGAGGTTCCGCCAAGCCGCACTAAAACTAGATAGTCTTGTGTATCTGAAAGAAAAAGACAGACCCACGAGACAACAGACCACAAGCATCAAGAAATGCATCACGTATGAAATAAGAAGCAACTGATTCACACAATCAATAAAATGTGAATCAACTCCAGCAGCCACCTATCCTGTACTCAATGATGTCCAAGCAGCCAAAGTCTGGGTAATAATAACCGTAGCCAATAATAGTTAAAGCCAGTTAACTAATAATTGGTACAAGAAAGATTCTCCTTCAGATCAACCAAGTGTTGAGTACAAAGGCCTACCTAATTGTATACAAATTGACTGGATAGATTAAGTTAGATACAAGTTAGATTAGATACAAGATTGAATAGTCAGATTGTAACGTGTGGAGTGACCCTAAGGAGCACAGGTCACCATAACCACACCTCAGAGGCCTTGTAATGTACATAGGGCTGCAACAGCTAATCGACTAAGTCAATTATAATCGATGACGGAAAAAGTTGTCAACGCTTTCCATCATCGATTAGTTGCCCTGCTCCCGGCTTCTCCTTCCCACCTCACTCAGCTCTCAGACCAGCTCGCCGTTGCCAGACTCGCCCGTCCGCATCCACGATCAGCACAGCGAGATGGCACAGGGACAAGATGAAGCAAGGAGGAGCAGGAGTGCGGGGACGGCAGCCATCGACAGACAGGACCACGATCTCAGAAGACAGTTGCTGGGAGACTGCTCAGGTAAGACTGCCTGCACTTTCCCCCCCACATGGCACAATTCGCTGTATTAATGTATTGCTGGGATAGTGGGATTTGTATTCCTTTATAGCTGATGGTACATTGTGCTGTATATTATACAGAGCAATGTACCATCAGCTATAGAGGAATATAAATCCCAGCAATCCATTATACACTGTATGTATAATGTACTATTGCTGGGATTTGTTGTACTCCTCTATAGCTGGTGGTATTCTGCATTGCACTGTCTAATGTATGAATAAAACGAACTGCGCAAGTAACAAGTGGGTCATCACATCGAAGTCCTGGCCTCTTAGAGACAGTGGGAAATGTAACGACTTGCTGACCGGGGTGTTAAATCCCCTTCCTGTCTAGGCCATTTTTCAGTATTCAGCACTGCGGTACTTTGACATTTATTCAGTCATGCAACACCGTACTGAAATTAATTTTATACCATTTGTTGGGGACCGATAGAGCTTTCTTTTGGTGGTATTTAATCACCACTGGGGTTTTTATTTTTTACTATAGTAAGTACAAATTACCAAACATTAAAAAAAAAAAAAACAGTTTCGCCTACATTATGTTACGAAACATTTATTACTAATTGGTAAAATATAAAAGATGGGGTCACCTCAAGTAATCATTGACTCTATGCAAAGCCTGATGAAAGGACCCTGTGTGGCCCAGAAAGCGCTTGTTTGTTTATATGACAAAGAACTTCAATAAATGAACATTTTTTT